GGTCCCCAGGCCCCCAGAGGGCCAGGTGGCAAGAAGGGTCCCTGCCCATGCTGTGTGCCGTCCTCCCGAAGAGCCCACTGCAACCCTCTGCCATCCCATGGAGTCCGACTCCTAGCCACCCTCCAGGACAGAGGGGAGCTTCCAGTTAAGGGTTTCCAAAACCGTAAATCTACATGGGAGCAGAGAGCCTCACCCACCATCTTCTGTCTTCCGGTGGCTTCAAACCGCCAACCTTACAGTCTGTAGCCAAACGCTTAACCCATGACACCACCACCAGTACAGCTTGGCCTCCCGCCAGCTCTTGCCAGACGCTTTCTCTGCCCAGTGACTGGCCAGCGATGAGGAGTGAAGTAGGGCTGCCCTTCAATGTGACCTTTCTCCAAGCCCCCCTCCACCCCAGTCCCCCTGTAGACGGAGTTCCCCCCCTCCCCCATATCTCCCCTGCTCCTGCTGTCGTCTGCCTTTTACCTCGCAAACCCTCAGGACAGGGCACCTAGAGTCCCATCAGAGCCCCAGGGGGCTGCAGGCGGGGGATGAAGGCCTGCGCATCCTGAGGCCCGGCCACAGGCTGCTGCTGCTCCCCAGGCCGGCTCCATCCAGACATGGGGCTTTGCCCTTGTCCCTGACCTCCAGAAGAAGGCAATCAGAACGGGAATTTGGAAGGGAGATAACTCATCAAGGAGCCTGCCTGCTCCGCAGAGCATCAAATCAGCTGAGAAATAACAACTGTGTCACCAAAATTAACTCTGAGCTTGCAGCCGACCTCGGGCAGGCTGACCGAGCAGACAGGAGTGCCCATGCTGGTCCTGGAGGCCCCGGCCACAGCTGGGCCCCCCCTTATCCCTGCATCCCTCAACCCCACCCACCCAAGACCGGCTGTGGCTGAGATGGAGCAGGAGGGCGTTCTAGCATCCCTGGAGGGTAAGGCCCTTAGCTGTGTCCCAGGGAGGCAGGGCCCAGGCTGCCGCAGTCCAGAGTCCCCTTCCCCTGCTGCTGGCCAGCGCCCTCAGCCAACTTCCCGGGCTGGGCTGCGGCGATCACAGCGGAATGCTGGGTTGATGCTGCCCCTTAGTGGAGAAGACTGGGAGGGCCACCCAAGTGTGTGGAAACCAGGAACCGAGCAGCTGCTGGCTGCTGCCTGGGAATCAGTGGGGCTAGGAGAGCCATCAGGAAAAGGTCCCCTAAACTCAAAGCAGCAGAAAAAGAGGACTGGGCTTGTGTGGCCTCACATTCCATCTCTAACATGCACCCCAGCCCATGACCAGCCTGGCCTTCACCCCTTCTCTCTCTCTGCCTCCGCTGCCCCCTCCCCAGGCCCTTCTCCCAGGGAGGCCAGGCCAGCAGGCAGCCCGGAGGGTGTGACCTGGAGCTCTGGGTGTAGCCTGCCACTAGCTCTGCAGAGCGTGTGGCCTTTGGTGACTCACGTCACCTCTCTGGGCCTCATTGACCTCACTGGCATACGAGGGTTCCCGAAAGGCCTGTCTGGTGTGAAAGCTCTGGCCCCCGGGTACCCACTCACCTTTCCCACCGTTTCCCAGAAGGTCCCTGGTGGTGGGTTACCACAGCAAACAGCTTGTGGGACCTTGAGTTCTGGGTGTAGGCTCAGAATCTGGGGCTCAGGGGGGTCTCAGTTTATCTATCTGTGAAAGGAGAAATGGTTTGTATGTTTTAACACTGTGTCTGTACATGCACACGTAAACATGTATGTATATACATATGTGTGTATGTTAGTATCTGTGTAGATATGCTGTTATTAATATTAGTGTATATATACACACACATACAAGTCTACATGTTTTGAGGGGAGCCTCACTTTGTACAACATAGGTCCAAGACTAGGCAGTGTTTCCATGTTTTGCTTTCTTGCATTTAACTCCTTTATTCCACATTAAAAAAACTCCTTTATTCCACATTTTAAAAAACAAGTACTGACTCATCTCCACCCTCCCTGGCAATTGGGGGCTACCTGCCCCCTGCTCCTTGAACCCCTGCTCTTCCTGGCAAGGGCCAAGTGCCCGCCACCAAGCAGGGACCCCAGTGACCCAGCGGCCAAGCCACTTCCTCGTGGAGCCATCTGACGCCCGTCCGGCCTATCTGTCTCTCCCTGCAGATCGCAGAGACCTACGCCTTCCTCCCTCGGGAGGCTGTGACCCGCTTCCTGATGAGCTGCACCGAGTGCCAGAAGAGGATGCACTTTAATTCCAACGGCCTAGAGCCCAAAGGTAGGGGACAGCGTGCTCGCAGGAGGTGTGGGAAGGCCTGGCAGGAAGCAGGCTCTCCCAGCCAAGGACCTGCCCTCTGCTGGCATGGACAGCTGTTGCCACGGTCCCCAGAGGCCAGTGTGGCTGCCTGGGCCAACTAGAGAGCCCCTGAGGGGTTTCCGTTTTGGTTTTACTTTAAAAACAAAACAAAAACTCAAGTTCTACTTAAGAACGACACATTTCCGGTGCCCTGCCAGGCCCAAGCCAAGGTTATAGTTGGGAATGCCACTGTGCCACCTTCCTCTAAGCCCCCCGAGTTCTTGCTGTCTCGAGGGTCTGGCCTGGCAAGCTGAACGGCCAGGTTTCGGCAGACAGCATGCCCCTTGCCATGGGCACCCTCTATCCTGCGGCCCACACCACCTACAATGGCAGGTCCCTAAGAGGTGAGGGCCCTTCCCCCTGTGGTCTCTGGTCAGTAAACCAATGGGGAGCCCTGGCAGCCAGGCTGCCACGGGTCACAGGAACCAGTGTTCGTGTTGCTCTGCTGCTCTGGCCTGCCTGGTGACCAAGGCCTTTCCATTTCCACACTCAGAGCACCCCATTTCTGCAGGCTTCTGGGGCCTCCTGCCCTGGGCAGCAGTGGAGGAAGGTGCTGAAGTTGGTGGGCTTTACCCTCTGAATGCAGCTTGAGCCATTCACCTGGTGGTGCCCCAGGGATGCCCGTCCCACCTGGAAGAGCGGCTTTCAGCTTCCTCTGGTTTGGGTTGTTCCAGCTGACTGGCCAGATCCAGACACCCACCCCACCCCACCCCACCTTGGGAGCCATCTGGCTTCAGGGCTCCATGGAGCACAAGGGACAGGAAGGAGCCTGTTAACCTTTCCTGAGGGCTGGGGCCCAGGGTTACCAGTAGGGACTCCTGCCCTCTATGGAGGTTCGAATCCCAGTGCCACCACTCAGGAGCTGTGTGCCCTGACTCTGTCTCCCGGGACCTCCGGCAAGACTGTGTTGCTGGGGGCCCTCAGGCTGATGAGATTAGTGAGCTGAGACCCCTGCCAGCTGTGGGTAGGAAGCTCAGGCCTGGGTGACACAGGGCCTGAGCGTGCCTCTTCTCTGCCCCACACGCTCCAGCTGCCCTCCCCACCCTCCAGGGTCTGGTCCCTGCCCACCCCATCCGCCCAGCCTGATGGTTTCCACAGCAACGGCGCAGCCACAGAGCCACTCACTGAGAGGGAGGTGAGGCCGGGAGAGTTCACGCTTGTGGACGGCTCTGGGGCAACTTCAGGCTCTGCGCTTGCCCGCCCCCCCCTCTCTCTCTCACACACACACACACTCTCCCTCACTCAAGGACACATACCTGGACACTCAGACACACGTGAACATAGGCACACCCACGGGCACACAGATACACCCACAGACATGGCCGCACACTGGAACAGAGCACACATGAACACAGGCACACCCATGGGCATACAGACACATGCAGACACCCACGTGGACATACATTTGAACACAGACACACATGAACATAGATACCCCTTCCCAGGCATGCAGACACACATAGAAACACACACACAGAGGCATGTCCACAGGCACACCGATGCGCAGGAGGGAGACTGGTTCTCACCTCCCTGTGCCCCCTCTCCGGGCTGTGCCCCACCCGGCCCCAGGGCACCAGCATGGCTAGAGCTGATGCCCACCCCCCAGCAGCCCTTTCTGCTCCTCCCTTCCCCCACTGCCCTTCCAGCTGAAGGAGGGAGGAGGTGGGAGGGAGCAGAGAGAGTGCATGCACACAGGGGGGCACACACACACACACACACACACACACACACACACACACGAGAGCACACACACACATGAGCTGCCTAGAATGTCAATCAGCCCGACAGCAGCTCTCTGCTGGAACCTTTCTCCCCAGGGCAGACACACATACACACACACACACACACACACACACACACACACAGCAGGACACCAGGCAGCTCTGAAGTCCCCGTGAGATGCCCGGTCATTGCCCACCCCAGGACAGATGCTACTGCTACCGTGCTGTCCCAGGAGAGGAGATCTGGAAAGAACAGGAGGCGGGGCCTGTGTTCCCAGCTCTGTCCCTCGACCAGTTAGGGAGCCTCGCCTAGTACACTGAGAAGGCAGCGGTCCCCATACACACCTGGGGACCCAGGTATACCCAGGAGAGGGGAGATGGCAGAGGAGTGGGACAGGGAGTCATGTGGTCCACATGGCAAGTCACGTGGCTGCCTGAGGACCTGTATCTGCCACCCACTTCACTGCACCCCCAGGGACCAGGCTCAGGACTGCCAGCAGGCAGGCAGCCCCACTCACCACATACACTCACATACTCGAACACATACACACACACACACACACACACACACACACACACACACACACA